ATGTGTTCCTTTCCTGTTCTTAATTTTCATCTTTAGGCTGTAACAAAAGAAAGATTATTCAATCTGACTGGCATGTATACTGAAGCTTTTCTGAGGAGCTTAGACATGATGAGAGAATGGTTAAGGACTCTCTGCACCTGGTGCCATTTTGAGCTCCCTTGCTTCTCTGCCTGCCAACAGAAATTGCAACTCTACAGGCAGGAGAGGAAAAATTCCTTACTTCCTCACCAGTGTGCATATTTCTACCAATATCCCACCTGTCTGATCCCCACAATCTATGTGGCTTGATCATATCGAGGTCTTCCAAAGTCTGTCCTTTGCCCAACTAAGTCAACTCAAACTCTATATTCTTAACTGGACAGTTGAAGCAATTTATCTCAGTCCTGCACATCAAGATTTATGCTCAGCCCTGACCTACCTCCTCTGGCTTCAGTGAAAGAGTTACACTGATAATTTTCTGCACCAGTGCTGTACATGTTTTCCAGGGGGTTTCAGTGTAACATTAGCTCTATTAAAATGGACAAGGTGCTTTCAGCCATCATGTACTTTCTGTTGATTTTATCCTTAATCCAGCTTTCTGCTGGATTTTCTGCTCAGAACCTATGTTGTTATGCACTGGGATGCACCAGCCCTACCTGTCACCTTCCAACCAACCAGGATCCAGGACCCTGGATTTACTGCTATTCCAGGGCCCTCTCCTTATCTCACCTCTTTCCATAACACAATGATAGCAGATCTGCCGGAGGATTAGAGACCAGTTCTTTCCTGAGGAGCGATTATCATGAAGCCTCCTAAATGCTCCATTGTACCGCTCAAGCTATGGCTGCAGCCATCCTCTCATGTCTGCTTTTATTTAGCTGGCATATCCTCTCAGCAAGTAAGTTTTCCATAGCTGGAAGAATGATTTCAAGAGCAGACACTCAGAGGCCTTGATATCTCACAACATTTGTTGGCAAGATGCTCCTAGAATAATCCCACTTGGCAAAGTAAACTGACTTCCAGGTAGGGTTTAGCAGACAGAAGTATTCTGGTCCCATGAATTGAAACCAAAGTGGTTACAATTTCCTCGGCCCAAACTGAGATAGAAAGTATGCAAGTCTTCTAATGAGCTAGAAGTGTTTAGTTCCAGTTCAACTGACAGATTTGCTTGTCATTTAGCAAAATGGGATTTGAGCATAGCTCCTTTTACGATCAAGTTTCATATGAATTATTTTCAGTTTTCATACAAAATGCACGAACTGGAAAGAAAAAATAAAATTTATCTTCCAGAAAAAGGTAAGATGGTGTGTTCTGTCAATTTTCTCCCTACATTTTTTTCAGTCAGGAAATTCATAAAAATGACCATTTCTGAATCATGTTTCATTCTGATAAATCTATATTTTCCTGAAAAAAACAAGTACATCTATCACTGAAAAAATACCACTCAGCTCTGTCTTCTATGTAGGTCAATAGGGATTCTGCATAGGACCATACCCTGACAGCACATCTCTTTTCTCCTATGTTTTCAAATCAGCAATTTTTTTTACTGAAAATATATTTTCTGACTTTTGCTGCTACTGCGCATTTCTTATGCCAAAGTTGGCATCTGGATTTTGTCACAAATGTTTTCCTGTGAAGGTGAGGATGTCATCAGAGACCTCAATCATGGACAGGACAGAGCAAATGACAGGAAGAAAGAAAATTTGAAAGCACTGTCATGCAAATATTCTGAAGTATGGAGACAACTGCTGCTCCTAGGGAAGCAGAAATACTTCTAAATGACATGTCCTTTCCCCCGTTTTCCATGTGGCATCACTGTGGGACTTTTAATGACATGTTTACATCTGTTAATTTCATGTCAAGGTTTGGCAGCCACCCACACAGAAGGTAATTTGAGTTCCTAGAAACAGAATTACTGCTTATGAGCTTCCCTCCCTCCTGTGCATCCTGGGTTGAGGTGGGCTGGGAGGAGAGTGACAGCTGGCCCTTCACTGAAGCGCTGCATCACACTTGGGCGATTTGTGCATTTTATTATTATTCCAGCATACTTGGATGAAGCCTTGTCTTTTCTTACAAGTTTCAGCTGATGACTGGAAGCTGTTCAGCACCCTGCAAGCACATGCAGCCTCTGGACACTGATAGAGTAAATCCCAGCACCTTGGTCATATCCTTAGTCACAATAATCGAAGCCTACAGAGTTAAGGCAAAGAGGAGACATAAGGGATAGAGCCATGGCCGATTTGGTGTTGGGCAATGGACTCCACAGTCATCAGGACTGGCTTGAAGGAGCCACAGATGTCTTCTGTCTTTCATAAGTAGTGTTACTGCTTTTCAGTCCAGCACCTAGTGAACTGTTACTCTCTCCACAAAAACAAACATGTGATAACACACTACGACAAACCCAAAGAAAGTAAGGCTGAGCACTCAGGCCAGAAAAAAGACTAAGTTACACACTTGGAACAGACTACCCTTTTTCTCCTACAGGTGATCTTTGTTAGGTCAAGGCTGAAATGCATTAACAATGCAAAAAAGGGGTTTGGGGGTGAACAAGCACTGTCATCACTCTCTCCCTACGCTCTGTGGGGGTGGATAGCAAATGCATCAAGGGTTATCAGTTTGCAACCTCTCATCAGGTGGTTAGATTCACTCTAAGTCACCTGAAGTATATTCCTGCTTACTACCCATTAAACCTTGATAATTTTGAATCAGCTTTTCATCTTTTTCTTTTTTTTTTTTTTTTTCCTCACAAGGACAAAAAAAATAATTAAAAAAGTATTTAGCTGGGTCTAACAACATTACATTGCAAGGTTCAGTCAGTGGCCAGAGTCCTCTGCAAAGAGGAGCAGGAGCACTTTGACGGGGATTGCCAGGGAGCTGTCAGCTCAGGTCCACCTGAGCAGCAGGTAGAGCAGAGGCTGTGGAGCAAGGCTACATGTGCCATTTGTACTTCCCATGGGGAAAAAATATCAGATATGTTCCAAATGTAAATTTAAACAAGAAATGTTAACGCTGTGAAGAGCGGCATGGGGCAGAGAGGGCAGCAGAAATGGTGGCTTTGAGAAATAGTCACATTTCTCACCCTGCACGGTGCATCCAGGTCTGCCTGCTTACCTGCATGCCAGCACCTAGCACAGCCAGATACCAGGTGACAGAGGGCCCAGAGTCACCCTAAAGAAAACAGAGCTGTGCTGGGGAGAGCAGAACAGACACTGTCTCTGATCTTAGAGGTGATACAAATCTTTGCTAGGATTCATAGGTTAAAAAGGCTTAGTTGAGCATAATGAATTTTTTCTTCCTGTCTCTTTGCATTGTAGTTTATTTTTTATTGCATCCCCTATCTCCCTGAGAATTAGGAGCAGTTTCAGGGAAGGTCTGAAGCTCTATTTCCTGCTGCTGCAACAAGGCAGCTATGAGAGCACACAACAAGGACTCTGTTGTGCTCAAGTGGTGATCTGTAGGCAATGCAAACTAACCACCAACCCAGGGCAAATTGTAAACACTGAACCTGTAACCAGCCTGAAACATGGCAAGAGTAAAAGTAATCATCTGTCTCTCTTCCTTCTTACCACAAGCTCAAATTTGCCTCAGTACATCCTCTGTGCACAGCAAGGTCCAACAGAAAACTGATACCCTGCATGGCAATATCTCCTATTTCCTGCGTAATAGAAAATACCAGTGACAATTCTGTGGTGTCTGATGGAGTTATCCCTGGTGACCATTGTATAATAAAGTTAAGAGGTGTCAATATAATTAACTATGACTTTATAAACTTAAGTGATGTTTACTGTTTGCCTTTCAAAGCCTGTCTTCTCCTCAGAAGACTTATTCTGTCCTATAAAACCCAAAGATGGGGTAGGTAAAATAAAGTCTACTCAATATCTCCATGCAGTGCCCCCAAAAGACTAGATCAGCCCTGGTAAAAAAAAAAATTATTCTTTCTTTAAATCAATACTATTTGTCTCCTTTGGGTAAGAAGGAGTTACTCAGTTTAAGAACCTTTCCTTGCATACATTACCACAACTGAATACTTTACATTTCCAGTTTATTAATCCATCATACTGGGACTTGTTGACTTAATCACTGAATTCTGCTCTCCCCTTTAGTTGTTTTATTCAATCATGCACTTGTTTTTTGATGCGAAAGTGTACACGTGTCCATGCAAGTCTGGGAGAGACTCAGTATCCATTTTGCTACATCTTGTCCTGTGCTACCGTTTAGATGCTTCCCCCCCACCCAAATTCTCAGTATACTTAGTCTTACAGAGATCGTATATGTCTGATGACGTCAGACAGACATGACATAGCATATACCTGTTTGTGTACCCCATTCCCCTCATGCCCACCTTGCCAGTTCTGGATGTCCATCATTGATGGCATCACCTTACCAAGAACACCAACCTCTGTGACAGGAGACACTGAAGTGGACGGCCACTGCCCCTCCACAGCCCTCACTCCCTTTCCTTCTCTAGCTGTTCCTATGCCTTCCGTTTCTTCACATGACATTTGCCAAGGTCCTCACTCTTTTATTGTGTGGTTTTATATACAGCAGAGTTGATCTGTTCAGTAAAGTTCTTCCTTAGCTTTGCAGGATTTACTAATTCCTTCAGAAAGATGAAATCACTTTCACAGCTTTACTCAATCTCTCAATTTTTCCTGTATTAGAAACCAAACTATTATCCTTTCTTTCAAACCTCTTTCCATCACTGTTTCAAAACTGCCATAAAAAAAATAAAAATCCTATTGACACTTAAAAATATAAATATTCTTTTTGAACTGCCTTTTTGTGATGAGAGAAGCAGAAACCAAACTGAGATTCATTTCTCTACACGAATAATCTTATCTAGGCTATAATGAAAAAGATGATAAAGTTATACATTTCTCTGATGCTTTTAAAATGCACATCAGAAGATATTTTTGCCATCAGAGGTGACTGTGTATAAATGTTTTGAGTACATATCTATATATAGTTTATATCATAGCTATATAATTTATATATACATATGAAAAAACCCTTGCACTTACCTTTGAGAAGTAACATTTATCCCAAGTTTGGTAAAATAGTCTCAGACAACCACTTAGACCTTCCTTCTATGCCATGCATCCTTTTTTCAAAAGAAGATACAATCAGAAAAATCCTGGTTGATCTCTAGCAAACCAAAATGCAGACTAGATTGTTTGTCAGATGCAGCCTGATTCAGTAAAGTCCAAGTGTGGGAATCCCTGAGACTCCTTTTTCAGTAATATCCAAAGCACAAAAAAGAGAAAGGAAAAAAGGAAGGGAAAAAAAAAAAAAAAAAAAAAAAAAAAAAAAAAAAAAAAAGAGAGAGAGAGAGAAAAACCCGAGAGAACTAGCAGGCAGCTTCAGGAATTTCTTCTTACCTCTTCTGACGATGCAACATACAGCAAATGCTTTGTGCTGCATAGGAATCCGTGCAGGCACGACTTGTTCAGACCCCTCACTCCTGAAATAAAGAAACATGTAGCATAGGAAAGGGAAGAAAATCAGAAACCAGATGAAAGAAGGGTACGAAAAGAAGCTATTAAACAAGTAAGAGTGCCAAGGAGAAGGCTTGAGTGGGTGGGAGGTAAATAGTTGGTACAGAAAGAAGCATCCAAACTCCTGGTCGTAATACAGATTGGCTCTGTAATTATGTGGCAAAGCACTGCCTTCTAAGCCATTGCGTAATAATAGAAACCTAAGCTGTGTAGACACAGCCTGACATGCTAAATCCTCAGGAGCTACACTCAACATTTGTCAGTGGAAAGCGTGTCGTTCTCTGGGGGCGGGGGAATCTGAGGGAAAAGGGGAGAGAAATTTTACTGCAAAATGCACAAGCTGCAGCTGCAAAGAGCTCTCAGGTGGTGCTGATGCCTGAGATGTAGTGGAAGTCATATATATCTGTATCTATATAGGGAGAGATTGATAAATACAATAACAGACAGCTCCATTCATGCTACTTAATACTAGAAAATATTCCCTTGCTATATTTTAGTAACTTAAATGACAAAGAGAAGAGCATGTACAAAGGTTTTCTGTGTTAAATATTATTATTTCTAATGCTGATGGTGAGAACTAGGTCTCCCTTCCTACTGATGAGTATTGGAAAGTCTAAATAAAAAATGAATTAAAAGAACTCAAGAGGATTGATCAGCCTTTCCTATTTGCTGGTGGGTTCCTCTCTCCAGCCCTTCAGACAGAGACACCCACATTTTCTTCTGCCTCTCTTGGTTGAACAGGCTCCTAGACGGACCCAGGGAAAGATGAGCACTGACTAAATAAGAGTAGGCATAACCCCAGTTCATCCAAACTACCGCACACCAGTATCAATACACCAACAGACAGAACAATTTATAATGTACATGGAAGGGAAAAAAAAAAAAAAGAAGTATAATTTTGCAGTGGGAATTTACCTGGAAATTGTGGCCCTGGCTCACACCTATGGTCCATCTAGTCCAGTATCCTGCCTCTGGACCGTGATCAGAACGACACACCTCTGAGGAATCCCAATTAATTTGTGCAGCTAGGGCCAGACAGCTAGGGCTAACCTGTTCATGGGCAAAGCTTCTCCTTAATCCCTCTTCTTTAAAGATTAGTTAATGCACTGAAGCATGATCAGGGGAACACTCCTCCTCTGCAGATCCAGATTAAACACGTAAGGTCTGATTCTGAGGTCCTTTGTAGTTGGTGCAAAGTACACCTCTTTTAAGACACGCTAGATCTAAAGAATAAAATCGTCTGATGCTTTGTAAACACCCTAGTGTGAAAAAAGGGTATAAGTTCAGAAAGAGCTGTAGTATTTCAGTCTGGAGAGTAAGGCATATTTTTATATAGCCTAAACTATCCTAGTTACTCTCCTCATTTACTCCTTACTCCTGGTGAAAACAACAGCTGTATTTTAAGATGTGATCCAGCGGAGGTAGAAGAATTAGGTCACTCAGCTAATATATAGGTATCAAATTTGGCCTCTGGAAAGTCAAAATAGATTGAATTGAAAAGTTAGAAGATATTTTTGTGAATGACTGCATAGTGCAATATCCACTTTTTTTGGAGCAGCTCGTGAAAACAGTTTCTGCTGTAGACTTCATATTCATTACCGTTACTGGACTCATTCCTTGATCTATGCCTGCTGTTTTCCCAGGTGACTCTGTACCCCGAAGGTGAAGACTGCAGATGTTGCACATAAGGGAGTTACACTGTGGCAAAACATAGGAGGAAGGACTGTGGACAGAGCAGTTGCCTATTTTGCAGCATATCCAGCTTTCCTCAGCTTTATGTGGAACAGTGCTTCTTGGGAGGAAGGCCAAGAGTTAGAACAGTTGCTAATTTTACCAGCCACTGAAGTAAATGGCCTGGTCAAAGAAAGAGTTGAGAAGCTGGTAACTGCCAAACTAGGCATTAAGAATCTTAAAAAAAACTGCTTCATTTACTAGATGGCTAAAACATGAATTTAGGAAGCTAACTTTAAACATAGCTCCTGGGAATCCTGGACCAAGCATGCAGGCTAGAAAATCAAATTGAAGCTCTAATCACATCAGTGCCTTGTAAAATAGATGTCAATACATTGCAGAAAGAGAAGACATCTCTTAATGACATCAGGAATTAATAATAGACTCTAGGACTAGTGTTTCAAAAATCTTTCAAAAATCTTTCACCACCTACAGTTGTGACAGTGCCATTTCCCAAGTTAAAATCAAAGATGATACAACCCTGGCAAAAAATCTCCCTTAAAGGATTTTCATGAGGCTGTGTTGTGGTGGGTTCCCACTGTGCTAGATTAGTGTGCTTTCTAGCTTTCCATGATGCCCTTTAAACTTAAATCAGAGTTCTCTGGCATTTTCCCCATAGAACTTCTCTCTAGTAACCATCCTTGCTGTATATTTCTTGTCTCCCAAGTAAGGAGTTTCTCAATGAATCAGCCACTTTCCTTCTTGGTCATTCTAGGAGAGAGCTATCACTTCTGTTCTTGTCTTTTGCTCAAGCCTCCCCTCTCTCCAGTTCTGCCTTAGTACACAGTCAACCAACATGTTTGCTTTAGCTATATCTGTTCTTATTTCCAGCTCCAGGGAAATCCCATCACCATCTGAAGAGCCACAGGAGAAATCTTGCTCTGCCTAAGTAGTGATCATCTCACAGGTCCACAACACTTTCACCTGGAAAGAACTGTCAAGGTTCAATGTCCTGTTCCTGATTTAGATCTAGAAAATACATGAGAGACCATGACTACAGGTGACTAACTCCATGCTCACTGAACCTTTAAAACTGCTGCGTTGCTGAGCAGCTGAATCTTTCAGTGATGCAGCAATTCCTGTGCCCCAACAGACTGTATAATTTCTATATGAAGAGATCTCATAAAGCCTCACAACCACATTCGTACACATTCCCTTATGCAGTGGCAACCACCCAAAAGACACAGAAATTTTGTAATGAGGATGTTCTTTGAAATACAGTGCCAAGGACAATACTCAAACCCCCCAAAAGTTTGAAGTAGGATTGCAGAGCGAGACACAAAGAAATTGAGATGCTTTTGCAGCCTCCAGGACAACTTTACCTGCCACAAACATATTATCCTTTCCAAGTCTAGCAAGCAGACAACATGAAGCCTTTTGCCATACCATGGACAATACAGTTTAACATGTACATGTAGGCACTGGCAACTCCCATTTCCTGCCCACACTCTTCCAAACTGAAGTAGTCAGCACTGGTCCATATGACTGTTTAATCAATGGCTGCCAATCAATTACACTGATTGAAGGACAGTTTAAAAAACATTTGGTCTGTGGCCCTACTGATGAAAACAGTTATCAGGAGCTGAACCCAACAGATTTCAAACACTGGCGATTTGAGGAAAAATTCTGTATTTCCTGGGTTCTGTTCAGCTCAGGTCTTTACAAATCATTGAATGGTTGTTTACACATGTATATGCCAGTACAAAATATCTTTCTCAGATCTTCCACCCACATATCCCTCTACTTTTAAAAGCAGTCAACAGACAAACTGAATATGCTTTCTTTCAATTTCCTGCACCTTATCATGGGGAAATCCTACTCTCAAATTTCTAGACCCAGAGATCCAACAGAGAACAGGTGTCTCACGGCACAGTGGAAGAAAAAGTATTCTTGAGGCTATTGGTGAGACAAAGGCAGCACAGAATCTCCCTTCTACAATGCACTGTTATAAAAAGCACAGACCAATATTGCATAGGAAATATGAAGATTAACTTCTTTAAAATACTTCAACAACTCCACAACAATCTTTGATTGTCTATCATGCAGCTGAACATAGAAAGCTCTCCAAACACCAGGAAACAGTTGCTTCAGCTCATAGAATCAAGTATGCATTCATAATCTACTCAATTCTAAGCATTCATCTCAGCTGGAATAACCAGGATACTTACACTAACCTTAAGAGGATCCACTGTAACTTTGTAGATGCTCTGAAAGAAGGTCAGCATAATATTTTTATCCCAGGGTTATTATTCTTTCCAGGTTCTCCCTTTACAAGCAGGGAAATCCTTATACTTTTATGCTGCATAATCACATGTCCAGCTCAGTGAGTGAAATTTAATGCCCTTTGATTGATAGGTTGAGACCAGAAGGGATCATTATGGCCATCTCATTTGACCTTCTGCATAACTTCAGTAAAAGAATTCCTCTCTGTGGTTCCTTCATCTATCTTCATACTTTTGGCTCGTACGGAAAATATCTTTTATAGAGACAGCCTCTTCATTTAAAGATTTCAAGTGCTGGAGCATTCATTTCCCACTCTCTTTATAAGTCTGTTCAATCTTTAATTGCTGTCATTGGGAAGAAAAGTCCGCACCTCATTTTGTTACTCAGAAGATTCTGGTATGTTTTCAAAAGCCCAAAGTGATAATTATGAATTATAGCTGGGTATCTCCTGATCAGAAAACTCAAAATGAGGAATAGCAGAAGTTTCTCACAGATAAGTGGATTTGTTCCACTGAGGGCTAAAGAGTGCTATCGGAGACTGGTGCAATCTATTTACTCAACAAACAAACAACAAAACTTCTTGTTTAATGGCCATCTGTTTCAGCACAGCGTTCATCGGAATAAAGAGCCTGCCTTGGCGATGCTTTCCCAGTTCCTGTAATCTGATGGAAAGTACAGCATTAGCTTTCACAGTACACCTGGAGGCAGCAGTACTCTGCCGCCTGTCCGTCAGAAAGCAGAACCTCCTCCTGGTGGGTTTGCAACCTCTGGCTTTGGTTCTTTCTGTGCACAGAGCACTCCCAGCCACCGAATTCCAGGCGGGGTAGCAGATGCTCTGCATGCAATCAGTGCAATAAAGACATGTCACAAGAAGAGTGTGGGTAAAAGTCTCCATTTTATATTTTGACCCTTGCCACATAGAATAAGGGATATTAACATTTTTCGCTACTGAAAGAGGATATGTGGGTATGTTATGCAACAGGGGGTCCCTGTTTGGAGAGGATGCTGTTTAGACTGTGAATGTCTATCGCAATTCCACAAGCAACAGGAGCAATGTAAGGGAGGTCAGGGTTTCCACTGCCCTGGCTGGGGCTTGCTTCAGCAACTCCCCTACTAATAATACCACATTTGCACCAGCTGAAACATTTGTTGGATTCACTGTTACATGATACAGATCTTGGTTTGCTTTCTAATTGTCACCTAAAAAAAATGTCTGGGGGAGAGAGAAAATTGT